CCCCCACCGACATTGTGGACAGGGAATTTTCCTAGGAAACACCCACGAATAGTTTCCATATTGACGCTGGGTCGTTTTCACAGAAGCTTTTCAAAAATTTTATTGTTGGGGATTATTTCCAAAGACATAGGTACAATGGAGGGTATATATATTTTTTAAATAAAAACTTTCATCCACTTATCAAGTATTTCTTCGAGTTTGGAGTTTGCACTGTTCTCAGCACAGACATACAGTGAGGCATATTGCCTAGCGTCTCAGCTCCTTCAGTTGATCTGCTCTGTATGAAACTTAATATTTTAGTAGCGATTAAACATAAACAATAACAAAATAGTGTCAGAAAATCTGTTTTACAAGTCTTTTGGGGCTTAGGAAAAGTTGTTTGGATGATTCAGTTCTTAGAATAGCATTAAATCAAGAGAGAAAAGTGGAAATGACCAATATTGATGAAATAATACGCAGTGACTTTGAGTTCTTATGTAATCCTAATGGCACTTTGTATAAAGTGCCCATATTTTTGTGGTTTTTAGTAGTGAAAATTAATCCTAAAGAATGAGTGTCATTGTGAAATTTTAATACATGCATATAACACACTTTGATTCCCCATTGTCCTTTCCTCTCCCAACTCTTTCCTTTTTGCTAAGGGTCCCTGGAATATAAAGTTTACATATCTTGTTAATGTGGACCATATATGATACAAAGTGGAAGAGCCTGGATATTTTTTTTTTGTTTTGGTTTTGGTTTACTTGGAAGAGATACTCTGCATTGCCATTAATTAAAGCTAATTCATTGAAACGATTTGTTTTCACAAGTATTTTTCCCATATATGTTGTCTCTTAAAAGAGTAAAAGTAAGGTCCTCTAATAAAAACTAATTTTTAATGATTTCTTAATTTTACACGATGATTACAATCTAACATACAGATAATTTTTTTTCATTAAAAGTTGAAAGATGGAATGACAAAAATCAGACAGGCCCAAAGAATCCATTTTGGGGGAGTTGTATCTGTTTTTGTTTTGGTTTGTGTTTTGAACTTGTAAATTAATTATTTAAACATAGATTTAGTTTTAAAATCTAGTTTTTGATATTCTCTTTCATCTCTCTTTTCTCTGTCCTTCACCTCTGAGTTAATTCCAGTTTTCCATGCTGGAGTTTTAAACAAAAATCCCAGTTGAACAGGAGGGATGAGTTTGTGCCACAAGAGAAGTGATAGGGCTCAAATTCTACAATTATAAAGCCACAGTTTTAGGTTAAGTCTTATTCCTGATTTGACTTGATCTCTGATAAGTTTATCTCCCTCCCTCCCTTCCACCCTGTATCTTACTTTTCCCCTCTCTCCCTCCTTCTCTCCCCTTCTTTCCTCTCCCTCCTCTCTCTTTGCTGTGCTTTGGATCAAACCCAGTCAAGTGTTCTAAATGTATGTAAAACAGTAGTTTCACTCACCTGAAAAGAGACACTGATATTCAAAAGTGTGACATTTCTTCCACAGTTCTTCTAACCATTTTGGCAATATCAAACCATTTTAGGCTTACAAGAGTAAAGCTGTATGTAGGTAGAGTAATTCTGTATGAACTTTCTGAATAAAACCACATGTTTTACTTGGATGTTAGTGGTAGCACTTAGCATTTTCTCAGGGAAGAGATTTAACCCAGACTTCTTTGTCAAACTCTTGACGTCCGTGGGATAACCTGAGGATCCCACCCTCAACCAGAGGGCATTGTCCACACTTAGAACACACTGCACTACCTAGTGGAGGTCTAAACCTATGGAGTAACAGTGACCCCCAGTGGTGAGTAAGGTGTTCTTTTTTTTTTCCAAATGCCAATGTGGGGATTGAATTAATTAAAATACTCACCATCCAGTTCATCCTTTTGGTAATAGGAGGCCAGACTAAAGGTGCAATGATGGAAGGTTTTACAGAACTGTTGAAACAAATGAATTCATAACCATTCTGTGTCATGCAGGCTGATAAGCGCAAAAGCAGTTCTGCCTAATGCATGTGTCCCCTTGTTTCTTTTTTCTAGTCTTTGAAGCCATCAAATCATGCTACCATCCAGAGTATAGTGAGAGCTGTGGGAGTCGTTCCCGGAATTCCTGAGCCTTGCTGTGTTCCTGAAAAGATGTCCTCACTCAGCATCTTATTCTTCGATGAAAATAAGAATGTGGTGCTTAAAGTATATCCTAATATGACAGTAGAGTCTTGTGCTTGCAGATAATGGGGCAAAGAACTCATTTGAATGCTTAATTTGATTATTTCCATGGACTTTTATTTTGCACTGCCAATGCATTTTGTCCCAAAAAGTTTCTTTTTTTTGTAGTCGAAAGAGAATGAACAAATAGATTGAAGATATCCGCTAGGCAGAACTGAACTGTATTTTTTTCTGAATGTAACTAAAAGCAAGATTTTTGAAAATGACGGCTATTTCTTTTCCTTTTAATTACAAAAGAAAAACTTTCACTCAAACTGTTTTAGAACTGCTATAGAACACACTGATTTATTTTTGTAATGGGCTTTAAAAGTAGATCGAAAAACCAGCAGTAGCTAATCATTGATCTCTCATCTACCAAGACAAAAGGGAAATAGAGAGTAACTTCATATTTTAATAGGCTTATTGCCTTAAATTCCTGAGCATCCCAGCCAGTGCTAAATAATCTAATCAATTGTGATGATGTTTATCTTAAAAATTTTTTAGATTTGCTTGCCCTTGAGTTTTCTCCACAAGTCATTGTAAATCTTAAGTAAATGTATGCTGAGTTTTAAGTAATGTGTGTACCTGTGCCAAGTCTCTGTGCCCTCTGTAAGAAGTCAGCTTGATAGATTTCTATAACCCAGGATATTCAAAATATTTAGTGTTTAGCTTTATGTTCTGGAAAGCTACATTTGGTTATGTAAACCCCGCCAAGAATGATGGAATGACCCAAGAACATATGCAAGAGTGATCACTTAACCAATTTAATTGGAAATGCTGTTATTTTTATTCCATTGCCTCCAAGAAAGGGAATCAGCAATTCAATGTTGAAAACCCAGATGTAGTTTCTTTTCTCTTTCACAAGAATTTACAATTTTTTTTCCTCCTAATTTGAACTCAAGATTTCCTTGTGCAGTACTGGATGGACTACTAGAAATCTCCTCTAAACGATCAGTTTCATTACAATAGTGTATTTATTAATTTCTCAATCACATACAGGTTCAAGCATTCTTCACATATATCAGAGCTTTTGCCTCAATCAGGGAATTGACAGTTTGGCAAAGCTCACTAAAAAATTATCCACCAAGAAAGAGAATCAAATACAGACTTCAGTCTACTTGTTCCTCCCTCCTCATTTCCAATTGTCATAATTAACTCCCCTTAAAATTCTGTCCTTGAAAAATCTCTCGCTCATTATATTTACCTGAGAGGATAGAAGTGATTTCAGGCCATAGATAGTCACTGATGTATCTGTGATTAGTCTGCATTTAAGTTTAGCCTCATCTGGTGATTAGAAATAAGTATAGTGTTTCAGAGCCCGTGTGGTATCAGAAGTCAAAAAGATTTGTTTTATTTCTTGCTTGTTTTTATAGGGGTTCAGTCATCTCATAAAGACTCATGTATCATCTATTTTGTAAAAGGCACAATATTAACTGTGTATCTTAATGCTCACACCCATAAAATAAAAAGTTGACCATTTGAGTTGAATGGCCCCATAGAAAATGAAAGGTTAGGTATCTAACATGAGTTTATTATTTGGGACTCTTCCTTGAAGGGAGATAGTGATAGATATGAAAACATTGCAAGGATTTCTACTCATAAACTCAGTGCAGGAGTGGTCCATACCTCAATGTGGAATTTTCTGTGGTCTACATGGTATATTATTGGAAGCCATTTAAAAGATGATAGCCATAAAAAACACATCATTCGCCACTTTTGAAGAAGTATAAGTAAGTTGGTGTAGATATGTGTTAACTCTCAGATGAAAAAAAGGATTAAGTTTTTGTGCCTAATTGCTGGATTTCCTCTAGGATATTTTTGTTTTGTAATAAAAAGCTAAAGATTCAAACCAAGATAAGGATGAAATTACTTTGTAATACATTTCCTTACAAAGTTATATAAAAGAAACTGGCTGTATTGGACATCATATACTAGTCATATTGTCTTTCAACAAGAGGATGTTTCTTTGTCTATAGCAGATTCAATGAAATTTTTAACTTAGTTTTCCCTAGAGATGGATTTTTTCAAACTTAAGGCAATTCTTAATTATCAAGTATCTACCTTATATTCAGAAATATCTCTTATATTTCTTAGTTTGAACCAATACCTGCTGGTCATAGATTGAATGTTTCAGGGATCAAAAATCCTCTACACAATCAACAAGTTCAAGTACCAACTAATTACAATTTTATCTTAAGAGCAGTTAATGTGATGAAATTAACACACAGTAAAAGAGCTTAGATAGACACTTTGATTTCTGGGTAACTTCTAGCCATCATTTCAACCTCTACTGAATTGATCACATATTGTGGGAAATATGGGAATAATTTTCTTCCCAAATAATAAATAAATATTAATTTTCCGTAGTGAAGGTTGAGGTAAATGGATTAATGTTTAAATTAATAAAAATGTATTTGAAATGAAAATGTAAGTGCCTACTTTTCAATTTATTATGTACTAGTATCCATATTCTTCCTACATAGATTTTTTTGGGAAACCTTCCAGTATTAAATTGACATCGATGCAGGAACTACATTTATAAGGGCTGTTTTGTAAATCAATGCCCTTCCCTTCTCTCAGTCATATTCATAACTATTCCTTAATGTGTACTTACCTATGCACACACACACACACACACACACACACACACACACACACACAAATCATTGAAGAAAAGAATTTTTTCTAAAATTCCAGTTAAGGTAGTTCCAGTATCTATATGTGTATTTTAAGAATAATTTGTTGTAACTGTGTAAAAACTATACAATTGATAGAATTTGGAGTTATATAACTTAACTTGGAATGTTGGATTCCTCAGATCTCAGGATTCCAGATTAATTTTCACACCCACCTATTCTATACTATCTGGTGATCACTTAATTATCATTATTCAATATAACATGTTATCCTCTTAATATTTCTGCATAAAAGCTCCAACTTCCCATTTGATATTTTTATAAGCCATTGTTGGGAGTGATACTGTCATCAGGCTGAGTTACACAAGTTTTCATATAATTACACTAATTGGTTATTCATGCCATAGTCACTTTTCTCTGCTAACAAATAACTATTACCTGGTGTATAGTTCTTGTAACATTTACTACTTATTAAAGCAAGGCTGGTTGAGAGAAGAACTATGCTTTCTGATATGAAATATTAAAGAGGTGATTAAGAAATTGTGGATTAAATCTGACTTCTCTGCATAGCTTTTCTTCCTCAGAGAATTGTATTTGCTTGTAGTTTGTAGGTGATAAAAATGATCCTGCTTTTCTAAAAGCAAACCCTTCCCTTCATCTTGTCATACTTATTTCTGTAAATGTTTTAGTTGAGAATTTAATGCTTGTACAGTCAATGGCAATTAAAAAATTTATATATATTATATGTATATGGAAAAACTTTAAAGATGCTTTTAATTTATTTAATGACTGTTGCTTTTCTATATTGGTAATAATTTTCATTTTTAGAAGGTGAGAAAACTCCTTTTTCATTCTAGTTCCTAGAAGAAACATTATATTTGGTTCTTTAGTCAAATCCACTTAAAGAGTGTATCATAGTGAAGCTTCACTACTGATGGATTAAGCTTTGCTGATTTTGTATCATTTTCCTCCAATAATGAAGTGCTTTTCGTTATATATTATGAGAATAAAAGATGCTTAATTGAACATTTTCTTGCATTCTTTTCTATTTATTATGAAAGACTATTTTCTAAATTGTTTCCAAATATGATGCATTTGAAAAGAGATAAATAAGCTGTACTACAGAGTTGAACATTTCAAAATGGTATCATGAAAGGAGCATCATATTGTATTATCCACATAACATGATTAACATTATGAATACTCCTAAAATATACTCATAAGAGTGCTTTCTGAAATAGGGAAATGTAATTTGAATCATTACATATGAGAAGCTCTGCATCAAGCTCCTGCTGCTTCTAATGTTAGCTACCCAGGAAGCTGAGATCTGAGGATCCTGGTTTGCAGCTAGCCCATGCAGAAAAGTGTGAGAGACTTATCACCAACCAACCAATTAAAAGGCAGATGCAATGGTGGTTCTAACCTTGAACAAAAAAGATTGAGGGACAGTGCCAGGCTCTGGGTTCAAGCCCCAACAAGTACTGGTACCAGAAAACATCCAAAAAATAAAAGGAAAGAAAGAAAGGGAGAGAGACAGAGAGATGGAGGAGTGGAGGGAGGAAAGGAGGGAGGAAGGAAGAAAAGAAGAAAGGAAGGCAGGAAGGAAGGAGAAAGAGGGAAAGTGAAAGAGAGAAAGAGAAAGATAGGAAAAAGAAAGAATGAAAAGGAAAATAAGAATTAGAAAAGCTCTACATCTCTACATGGAGATTTGGATTTTTAAAAAAAAATTGTCCTGACTATCTGTCTCACTATTAGTTCAATAGTGACTTTATTTTGACAATCATTATTGTTAATGCCAATTTTACAATGATAAGGATTTAAATTTAATTAATCTTATAATTGGGTTGTGGTTTAGATTTTTCCTTAAAGATAAATTAATACCTTGAGGAAAAGAAATAAAATATGCCAGACAGGTACTGGTGGCTCATTCCTGTAATCCTAGCTCTCCTGGAGGCTGAAATCTAAGAGTCATGATTCAAACCCAACATGGGCAGGAAATTCCTTTAGAGTCTCCTCCCAAATAACTACTAAAATGGCAGAAGTAGAGCTGTAGTTCAAGTGGTAGAACACCCTCCTTAAGTAGAAAAAGCTAAGGAACAGTACACAGGTTCCTGAGTTCAAGCCCCCAAACTGACAAATTAATTAAGTAAATAAATAAATATGCCTTCCAATTTCATTTTCTAAATCTGTTAAATTATGATATTGAGTAACACCATTTTGAGCACTTTAAAGTTTGGTTTGAGTTATATCTGTTTTTCCAGTTGCATTTAGTACAATACTGGATTCTAGGCTTGTACACATTGCTAAATTTTCCTTCCTGACATTTTCATTTTTACCTAAGTGAGCTTCAAAATCCCTTCTCATTCTGATATACTAGATTCAATGATCCAAATATCCATATTAAGTCAATACTTGGAAACATTGTTGTTTTGATAATGTCATAAAGGAAAAATAAATAACAGAAGTCATGACAAAAAGGAATGTGAGAATCTAAGAGTACACCAGTGGCTCATGCCTGTAATCCTAGCTACTCAGGAGGCTGAAATCTGAGTATCACAGTTCAAAGCCAGCCCACGCAGGAAAGTCTGTGAGACTCTCATGTCCATTAAACACCAGAAAACTGGAAGTGGCGCTATGGCTCAAGTGGTAGAGCACTAGCCTTGAGCTGAAGAGCTGAGGGACAGGGCCCAGGCCCAGAGTTCAAGCCCCACAACCGACAAAAAAAAAAAGGAGTGAATAGATGTCTCTTCCCAAAGATCAGATCATAAAATGTGTCTTCTATCATACAAAGTTGGCAATAAGACTTTTCTACCTTCATATCTATATTTAATTAAAAGTTTCTAAACTCTCATTTTAATAGTAATAAATAGTTAAAACAACAACAACAACAAAAAGAAAAATTAATCAGAGGCTGGGGGAATGACACAAGCAAAGATTACCTGTCTATCAAGAGAAAGGCTTTGAATTCAAATCTCAATATCACACACACACACATACATACACACACACAAATAGATTTTATCCATTATTATTTTAAAAGTAAGTACATTATGGTAGTTAGAAGCTCAGGCTTGGAATCAAGCAATTTGCATTAGAATCCTAATCATATCTCTGTGACTTTAAGCAAGTTTTTAAGCCTCTCTCTGGTTTCCTGGCCTAAAAGGAAAACAAAGCCCCTACTTTGCATTATTGTGTAAAATACACAGTATTCCTAGCATAAAATAAATGTTCTATAAAATTAGCTTTTTGATTCATTAACTGCACTTCCTACAGTTCTAAGAATGAGCCTACCTGACTCTGAATTGTGGTGGGCATGATTCTCATGTTACCTGTCAAGGCCAATAATTGGCT